TACAGCCACAAAATGAACAGGCCAGCCTGCACACAGGAGATACGTGTGGCACAATCACTCCATCTAACTGTGAGCAGTTAGATGGAGTGATTGTGAATTCAAACAAGAACAGCTAACCATGGCCCAGGTCAGCAGAACTGCTCAGCTGATTTGAAGACTCATGAGCAATAATGAATTGTTGTTTTTTGAAACCACTAAGGTTTGGAGTAGTTTGCTATACAGTAAAATTGTTAAATGTTACAATTAGTATTTCAGCTCAGTAAGAAAAAAAATGGATTATACAATAAGCAGGGGCTCAGACAACTAGTTCACCATTTTTGATGAGAAGATCAGATTCCCTCTAAATTGCATAATACATTCCAGATGGATTAAAAAAAGTATATATAAAGAATGATAGCATAAAAATGTTAAAATAAATTTTTAGTCAATATTTATGTACTCTTGACATGGGAAGACTTTCCTAGATACTGATGTCTAAAGGAAAAAGAGTAATAGATTTTACTATGCAAAGATTTTATAAATTTTACTTGTCTAAAAAATAAAAGGCAAATGACAAATAGGTAAAATTTTACATATGAAGAAAGATTACATTCCTTACATACACAAAGTATTTTTTATGCATGACAGAAGTATGCTAAAAGCTTGCTAGCTTAATATACACAAAATAACAAAAAGCTGCACTACCTGATAAACTATTGACCAAAAGGTTTTACACATGTAACTCACAATAGAAGAAAGGTAAATGGCCGGTTAACATTTTTAAATGTTCAACCTCACTGGCAAGCAAAGAAAGATTAAAATAACAGTAAAATTATTTTACCAGGTTAAGAATTCTAACTATCAAAAACAATAATACCTAGAAAACAGACATTATTTTATAAACTGCTGGCAGAATTATAATTTAGTACATTTTTGCTAAGTAATATGTATATGCACGTGCGCGCGCGCGCGCGTGTGTGTGTGTGTGTATGATGTGTGTGTGTTTGTGAGTGAGAAATATTTTTTGACTGAGAAATTTTCCTTTAAAGAATACATCCAGATGAAACAATCTGGGATGTGGGGAAGACAGTCACTTGACCTCATGATCCTACATCCCAGGTCATTAGAAGACTAGAGACTGTCTTCAGTTCACTGGCTTCACTGTGTAAGCCAGTAGTACCAAGAGTTTCTTCAGGTGGCACTAATGGTAAAGAACCTGCCTGCCAATGCAGGAGACCTAAGAGACGTGGGTTTGAATCGTGGGTCAGGAAGACCCCCTGGAGGAAGAAATGGCAGCCCACTTCGGTATTCTTGCCTGGAGAATCCCACAGACAGAGGACCCTTGGCGGGCTACAGCCCATAGGGTTGCAAAGCGTCAGGCACGACTGCAGTGACTGAGCATGCACACCCAAGAGCTGCTGCTCAACACCAAGGGCACAGAAGCCATGTGCCTGCCCATCCCGGCCTTCCCCACTCTGCACCTGGCAAACTGACATCGGGCTCCTAAATAACAATAGCTACCACTACTGAATGAAGAGACAGTAAGCCAAATTGACCTCAGAACCTGTACAACTGTGCCATCACTGACTCTATTACATGAATAAATATATTAATACCATATCAATTATTTCACACTGTAGCCAACTCAGCAATGTACAATCATTCATTTATGAAGGGATTTGGGCTTCACCCTCAGCTTGTCTTAAAAACTTTACTGGAATTCATAGCAGCTCCTGGACACCTAGCACCCTTAAGACCTAAGCAGAAAAAAATAAACCCCAGAACTTAGAATGTAGAAAAGACAAAGGAAGTCTTGCTATATAGAAAATATGGAAATCATTAAATCAAGTATCTTCATCAAACCCCTTTAAAGATCCCTCTGCCATTTTGTCCACAAAACGATACAGCACCATTACAGACAAGATTCTTCAGCTCCAAGTGCAGATGTGGCAGGAAGCCCAAGAATGAGATAGATCATCAAAGATATATGAAGAAGAAGGAAGAGGGGGAAAAAAAGAAAGAAAACAAAGAACAAACCAAAACAAAAAGTATACCTGAGAGAGAAAAAAAAGTCTGGAACAGAAACAGCGTTAGTGCTTACTGAGTCACGTAATAGCTTCAGCACAGAAGAAATTTGCAATCTGTATTTGTAGAACAATTTACCAAGCATTTCTACATCCACTATGGAATAGAATCTTTGTAATAAGACAGTGAGTATGTGTTCCATTTTATGGAAAGAAACTGAAGTTCTGGGAAGGTAAGAAAATTGCCAAAAGCCACATAGCAAATAAGTGACAGAACTGGGGTCTTTGGTCTTGAAGCCCCATTTTCTTTCCAAAAATCTACTATTGCTGCAGACTGTCCCTCCAGCTGAGCTCCCCTGGTGGCTCACACGGTACAAACAACCATGAAAATTTCAAGAAGCAAATATATTATCAACACATTTAGTGATGTTCACATAGTAAGCTATTTTTCTTCTCTTTGCTGTTGCTGTTCTTGTTTAGTCACTAAGTCATGTTTGACTCTTTGCGACCCCATGGACTGTAGACCACCAGGCTCCTCTGTCCATGGGATTTCCCAGGCAAGAATACTGGAGTGGGATGCCATTTCCTTCTCCACGGTTCTTCCCTTTAGAAAAGCTACCTATGAAAACAATATCTGATTCCTTCTTTCAAAAACAGCAGAATGTGGAAGAGGAGCACAGTGTTGGAGAGGGGGTTTTGTCAATGAAATGCAACTTGAATAAGTCTTGTGCGACAGAGCTGCTCGGTGTCTTGAATACACAAGATGGTGGATACACACACCTGCATAAAAGTGTATAGAACTTAATACACCCACAAATAAGTACAGGTAAAATTGTGGAAATCTGAATAAAAATCTACAGATTTTATCAATGTCCATAATCTGATCGTGATATTATACTATAGTTTTACAAAATGATACCACTGGAAAAAAGTGGGTAAATGATAGATGAAATCTAGCTATATTTTTTTATAGTTTCTTTTTAAATTGTTTATTTATTGACTGTGCTGAGTCTTCAGTGCTGCTTGCAGGTTATCTCTAATTGCTACCAGCAGGAGCTAGTCTTTGTTGTGGTGCGCAGGCTTCGCGTTGCAGTGGTTTCTCTTATTTCGGAGCGTGGACTCTAGAGCATGCAGGCTTCAGTAACCACAGCAATCAGGCTCAGTGGTTGTGGTTCATGGGCTTAGCTGCTCTGAGGCATGTGGGATCTTCCCGGACCAGGGATTGAACCTGTGTCCCCTGCACTGACAGGCAGATTCTTATCCACTAGTGAATTCCCTAGCTGTACTTTTTATTATAACTGCATGGGAATATATAACTATCTCAACAAAAAATTCAATCAAAAAAATCAACAGAGTATTCATATCATCAACACTGATTTTGAAACAGATCATTGATATTGTATAAAATATAAGGCATAATGTAGTTAATCAAAGCTGACTTCTTTATAGTAAAACTGGAAGAGGTCTTATCCATGAAATTTCAATTTTAAAAATTATTATTTCAAGCCTGAGATGATAATTTTGAATAGTTTTTAAAGATGTAATACCTTAAGAGTAAGACTCAGATAACCGTAGTTATGCAAATGATAAACCATTGGTAGAAGAAAGACTCAAAGAGGAAGAAAAAAAGTCTTTGAGCTAGAACAAAGGGCTATTTAAGAATTCTATCTCATGGCCAACTGGCACATGAAAAGATGCTCAACATCGCTAATTATTAGAGAAATGCAAATCAAAACTACAATAAGGCACCATCTCACACCATCAGAATGGCCATACTAAAGAAGTCTACAAACAACAATTGCTATAGAGGGTGTAAAGAAAAAGTAACCCTCCTACACTGTTGGTGTAATGTAAGTTGGTGCAAGCCACCATGGAAAACAGTAAAGAGGTTTCTCAAAAACAAAAAATAGAGTTCCCATGTGATCCAGCAATCCTATGCATATATCCAGACAAAACTATAATTCAAAAAGATACGCATACCCCTATGTTCACAGCACAATTCACAACAGCCAGACATGAAAACAATCTAAATGGTCAATGACAGATGAATAAAGATATGATACACATATACAATGGAATATCAGTCAGCCATAAAAAAGAATGAAATAATGTTATACAGCAACATGGATGGACCTAGAGATGATCATACTAAGCCAAAAGAAAAAGATAAATACCATGTAATATCACCTATATGTGGGATCTAAAATATGACACAAGTGAATTTATCTACAAAATAGACTCACAGACATACAGAACAGACTTGTGATTGACAAGAGGGAGGATAACTAGGGAAGGAAGGGATTGGGAGTTTGAGATTAGCAGACACAAACTATTGTACATAGAATGGATAAACAACAAGGTCCTACTATTCAGCACAGGGAAGTACCCTGTGGTAAACCATAATGGAGAACAATATGAAAAAGAAAGTGTGTGTGTGCGTCTGTATATATATGTGTGTGTGTGTATATATATATATATATATATAAAACTAAATCACTTTATTGTACAGCATAAGCTAGCACATTGTAAATCAACTATACATCAATAAAGTAAATTTTAAAAACAGAATTCTATCTTAAAACATCAGCTGACAAAAAGCTAGAAGTATGATCCAATTACTTTGTAAGACAATCTGAGAATTATGATAATTATGGGATGTACCAAGAATTGTCCAATAAACACACTAACCATATAGCTACTATTTATCAAGCATATACTATATGCCTGGCATTATGCTGGCTGCTTCAAAGAAATGATGGAAAATCCTCACAAAAACTCTGGAAAGTAAAATATGGATGGATCTATTCTATATTACTCAAAGTCACATAATTAGACAGTGACAGAGCTTGACTAAATTCTGACTCTAAAGCTTGCATGCTGTTCACTGTTTCATAATATACAAGAAAGAAACACCTAACCTTGGTAGTCTGGTACATGACTCTAGAGTGAGGGAAAAGATTATATACAGTAGTAGAAAACTACCACTGATATACTTACCTGCTTGTAAGTTCCATCCAGCAAGGTGTCCAGGTGTTGGAGGGGCGCAGGTGTTTTATCTTTGAACCTTGTTAACAGCCGACGTTGAATGGCCCGAAATTGTACAGCTCTTTCAGATAAGAGTTCTTCTAATTTTTCACCATTTATCCGCAACTACAATGAAGAATTTCTTTAATTCAGGCTAAATGTGCACAACAAAAACATGTCTAAAGTAGGGATACTGGCAATACCAATAGAAATTTGAAAAGAGTAAAGAGGAAATTTAAGTGTATTACAGAGTTTAGAGAATTAAAACAGTATGATATTTGATTCATGAATACATAAATGATACAGTGAAATAGGCTGGATAGAAATTTAGTAAAAATGGCCCACTTACCAATGGGTAAAGACAGATTATTTAATAAACATTTTGTGATAACTGATTAAATATACAAGGGAAAAAAAGAATAATAATCTATAATCTCTCCCCTAGCTTTTACAGCAAAATCAACTGTAGAGGAATCAAAAGTTTAAATAAAACAAAAGTACTAGAAAATTGTATTCTTAAGATAATTTTAGCATGAGACAGATCTTTATAAGTTAAAAGACTTTTGGCTTTTTTTACTAACCTAAAAAAAAAAAAAATTCTATGTGATTGCCATAATATCTAGAAAGCATCTTCAAACTGATGAAAAAGTGACCACAACCCAGACAAATGAGTAAGAAAAAGAACACCAATCCAATAGAAAAGTAGGCAAGATTCACAGAGAAGTTAATAAAAATAGTTCTCAAACATAACAGCCTTTGACCTAGCAATCGCACTTCCAGGAATTTTTCCAAGGGGTGTGCTTGCAAAAAGTAATGTACATGCAAACATATTCATTATAGAATTTGTTCTGTTCCTATTACAGTAAGATAATATTAATAATCAAACTGCTATCAATAGAGGAACAAGAGGACCACTAGGTACAGATAAGCAATGCTAGCCAAAGATTCATTCAAAGAAGCAAAGTAAAGAAACAGAATATCATTCATGTATTTTTTCTAAAAATTTGTATAGTAACATAGTTGTGACTACATAGAACAATTCTAGAAAGATCACAAGAAACTGGACACCAAAAGTTGCCTTCAAAGAGGATATTGAATAATGGAAGGATGAGAATCAGAAATGACTCCTTTCTATTAACTCTTTTCATAATTTTTGAAGTTAATATTATTAAAATAAAGAAAACTGATCATAGGGAATACTCCATGAAACCAGATCATGTGACTGCTACTTCAACTTCACAGAACAGTCATAATACTTCTGAAGTATCATATTCAGTATGTTTGGAAATCATACATAGTTTACATTTCTGATATCAAACCAAACTCCCCTCTTTTTCAGTGCATGTGTGGAGAAAAGACACACGATTGGGGAAAACACTTGGAATTCTATTACCCTCCTTTAACCCCAGTTTCAGAAGCACTTAAGTAGCTACATCAAAGAATATTCTCTTGAAGGGAAAGAAAAATTCATTACCAAAATTTAAAATGATAACAACTAATTTTTTAAGAAGGATATTATAAAAGTTATCAATAATTCACTTTTAATTGTATGACTTCCTGCTAAAATATTTTATTTCCTCAATTCATGAAATAAAAAAAATATTTTCAATATTAAGACATCAGCCAGGTGTCTTTGTATGTGTAACAAAACATCAGTGATTGAAATGTTTTCACATATCAGAATTTCAACACTTAACAAATATGTATGGATCTTAGTGCCAAGCAATGTTCTAGGCACTAGGAATTACAACAATGACTAAAACAGACAAAAATTCCTGTTTTCATGGAGCTTATGCTAAAGGACACTTGGAGGCCAAAAGCCACCTTTATTCAAAGTTGAAAGCTGTATTAAAAAGAAAGAAAAAAAGGTAGAGAATGAGGCCAGAGAGTAAAGGAAGCATAAGCATGCCCTTTTTAACTTGCTTGACAAGTAAAAGTGTATATAGTTGACCATATTCCCTAAGTCCCTCCCCAGAAAAGAAATGTCCCTGATGTAGAAACTACAAGGATTAACTAGCCAGCAAATATAAGCACAGGAGAGATGCGGACTATATGTCAAATATAGTCAATTAGAAACGAATGTTTTCGATTTTAAATGTTACAAACATTTAATCAATATAGTCTTTCTGTGGACTCTCTTCCATCAGTCACTGGACCCCAGTTTTGCACAGTTAAGCAGGAATTTCTTCAGATATATCCTAGAGAATTGCAAAGGTTCTCGATACTTAGAGTACCTAAATATTATTTCCCAAATTATTGACTTTTGGTGCCACAATTTGGTCAAAGTATACTATCCTATACAATATCATCAGCATAGATGAGAGAAAATCCAAATTAATTTATTTGATAATGTTGTATTATCCACAATTAGACTGCATTCACTGAAAATTTCCCTTTATGTTGACACTGTATTCAAAAAAGTCTTTATGTATAGGTTAAAGTTAACATTCTTAGAATGTTCAAGGAACTGAACATTAAGTAGAAAGTTCATGTGACTGACAATTTACATAACATATTCTCTCTCCCTTCCTCTCTCTCTATAATACACACATACACACGTGCACACACACACCACTTTACAGAGATGCAAAAACCTATGGATTCCTTAAAAAGGAGCCACGCTAGGGAACCAATGCTTCCTTAAATAATTTTCAAAATCTTTTTGAAATTCCTCTTTGTAATTCCCTACAGGATCTACTTACAGGCAAATAAGTAAGTAAAGCTTGGTGAATTCTTTTTTTAAACACATGGGACTTAAAACAATGAGTGTCATTGTATAATTGTTTTCACAAAAACATTAATCTTGACTATTTCCAAATATCAAACCAATTTTCAAAGGATGAAGATTTGACACTCTGAAGATACTCAAGAAAATATAACACAGGCTCTGAAGATAATTCCAAAGAAGAAGTGCAAACATATCCAGGCAACAAAGTCACTGGAAAATCTCACTGATTTAGACATTTAATCCTTCAGCATTTACCAAGCGCCCATTGTGCCAGATACTCGATAATATTTTACGTGATTAACCCTCATTCAGATGCAGAAGTTCTGGTGTGCTTGTTAAAAATGAAAAGGAAAATTCACTTTACTTTATAATCACACCTCATTTATGGTCTGCTAGAATTAGTTAGCCAAATGGCTGCCGATAAGCTCAAATAGTTTTAGCACTGGGTTATTGGGGTCAAAGGTTAAATCCCCATGTGGGAGAATTAAACCAGTTCTGTTCTGAGGTCAGACCACATGCTTAGCTCCAGGCAGCCACTCTGTAAAAGTCTGCGATTGATCACAAATTGGCAAGAGGGCAGGAAAAGATTCACAACCCCACCACCCACATAAGAATAACAATTTAGTGTACTGCCTAATGGTATGTATGCTAGAATTCTTACCTCTACAGGATCCCCTTCTTTTTCATATACTGAAAAATTACAGATGATATAGGTTATGATCATACACACCTCAAAATGATGATCAATCAACTCAAAATATTCTTGAAGGGGCACAGGTCCAGAAAAAGAACATGTGAAATCTTTGATTCCCTGTTTTTCAAAATATTCTTGAAGGCGGACGATAAGCTCATTTGTTATAAGCCAAAGATCCTCAAATTGTTCACTCTGAATGCGGTATCGTTCTAAAGAGAAAAAATAATTAAGCAAAAGGCTTATTAACACAATTACTAGCTGAAATAACGTATTGCTGTTGTTCAGTCGCTGAGTCGTGTCTGACTCTTTGCGATCCCATGGACTGCAGCACGCCAAGCTATCCTGTCCTTCGCTAATTCCCAGAGTTTGCCCAAACTCATGTCCATTGAGTCGGTGATGCCATGAATTATCACTAACTTTGACATGAACACAAAAATGAAAAGGACAAAGATTTCATTTTTGGAATATAGATATAATTTCTACTACCTTAATAAAAATAATTTTATGACCTTATTGTGATTTTCTGCATCAATAACTTAACATTTTCAAATTTCACCCCAAAGGTATGTGGTCACAGTGCCAAGCTGCAAAGTATGGTCCTTTTAACTATGTATCTTATGATAGGTTTCAGTATAGTAAAAACACAAAATTTGGATCTTTCCAGAAAGAGCTTTACTCAAAAGGTAAGAAAACAAAGAAACAAAACAAAAAAAGGTAAGAAAACAGCCATTGCAAAAGTATACTTGGTATCATTATCCATTTCAGAAGTTGATATGAAATAAAATTTATTCTATAGAAAGTCCTACATCCTGGCCACAGTAGCCAGCTTAAACCCCTGTTATCATAATCAAAGCTATTTTTCTTGTAGTTCTTTCATTTGAAGAGAGGTTTTGCAATAAGACCCTTCCCCAAATATAAATCTTGGTTCCCTCCATTCCCTGAAACCTCAGCTCATAGACAGCCAAATTTTTGCCTTCTACCTTGATGATGCCGATGATGACAACAAAGATGACAATGATGCTGACAGCAGTGACAATAACTACATCTATGATAAGAGCAACTATTATATGTTGAGCACCAACTATGCATCCAGCACTGAAATTGTAACAACTCATTCTTTTACAAAAAAAGAAAACCAGGCACAAAGAATCTCAAAGACTTGCCAAAGGTCATGAAGTAAATTAAATGTCAGAGCTAGAATTTATGATAAATATCCTTCTTTCCAATTGTCTAAACTCGACCTATTCTTTAGGATTTGGCTTCAGTCTCAACTACCCCAAAAACTTTATTTCTCTACCATCGATAGCAGCCTTGGTCTTCCCTGGTGACTCAGATGGTAAAGAATCTGCCTGCAATGCAGGAGACCAGGATTCAATCTTTGAGACAGGAAGATTGCCTGGAGAAAGGAATGGCTACCCATTCTAGTATTCTTACCTAGAGAATTCCATGGACAGAGGAGCCTGGTGGGCTACAGTTCATGGAGTTGCAATGAGTTGGATACGACTGACTGACTAATACGTAGCAGCCTTATATGTACCAGGCACTATCTAAAGCACTTCACATTCACTCTCTTGCTTAAATCTCAATAACCCAATAGGGAAAATGCTGTTATCCCCATTTTACCAAAGAATAAATCTAGCCACAGAAGAGTTTAAATAATCTGCAAGGTCATCCAGCCAGTTAGTAACAGAGCAGGGATTGGAACTCCAGCTATTAATCCAAAGATTATCTATCAGTCTTAACCACCTCACAACATTGCACATCTCTGAATTTATAGAGAATGTCTACAGTTTACTTAACTGCACACAACCACGTATTCTTATTTAACTTTCCATATACTCATATTTGGTCTCTTCAAAGAGACCATACACTTTTTGAGATCAAAGTCACCTATTCTATTGAACATCTATTATGTTTCATAAAGAAATAAATTTGGGGAGTATAAAAATTAATGAGTTTTTTTGCTTAAAGAACCTAAGATATTATGATACATTCATGTAAAATAGTTATTTATACTTCCCATGGTACTATAAATATATTAAAACTTTAAATTGGTTTTTAACTTTGCCATCCTCAACCATAATCCAAGAATATATCTGCTCTCATTCCCCCAGTCGTACTCTTTTTAATCACATAAGGAATAAAATAAACTGAGTATTCCTGCCACGGAACATGCAAACACTGTGGTCTTCTCTGCTGTCATATCATTCCCCTTGATCCTACCCCACGCTCCCTTCACTCTAGTCTTATTCTGGATGTTGGCTTCTGCCCATGGTGCTGATCAGATGTCTTCTCATTTCTCCCCATCAAAGACAGTAGGGCCAAGGTCAGATATGACAACCTTTACCTTTCTTGGTAATTGTAACTGAAGGTTTAATGCTTTAGAAGAAAACTAGCATACAATTATGGAGGGCTGTGAGTAGACAGGTAGAAGGGAGAATGCTGATGACAAAGTATGCTAGTGTTAGGTAGTTAGAATAGGGAAAAAGAGTCCAAAATGGCGGTGGCTAAAAGACCTGGAAGGGAAAACCCACGAAAATAGAACAAAGGAAGGTCTGAGGACCGGAGTGAGAACCTCAGGTAAGACAAACAACGCTCCTGCCTAAGCCCAATTTACATAAGGCAGGCCCAGGGACAGAGAAACAAATGAAAAGAGGAGCCAAAGCCCTCTTCCCTTTCTTTTGCTCCCTCCCTCCCCCGCGCGATGGGGCGATCTTCTCTTCGCGTCTTTGGATCGACGTGCCCTCACGCCTCAAAGATGGATTTTCCTGCTATTATCTAAATAAATAGAGCTGTAACACTGAGCTGTAACACTGATTTATTTCAGAGCTATAACACAGTCCGTTCGAGACCTGAGAGCTATAACACGGTCTGTCCTCCGAGAGCTGTGACCCGTCAAGGGGCTTTAATGTCCGTCACTCCAAATCTTTGTTGTGACGAGACAAAGAACCGAGGAACATACACTCGCGTGACACTAGCATAGAATCCTCTAAATCTGGGGTCTTACCTAAGTCAAGCTTGCAGTCCAACACGGAAAGCCCAAACTGTATTTATTCCCTCTTCTATTCATTTGTATAAGTCAGTTCAAGATTCTGGAGATAAAATCACAAAGAAAGCAAGAGCCTCTGCCTTCAAGAAGTTCACTGTAGATCTTGAAAGATGGAGTGATGCATGAAGAATGAACAAGGTTTCCACCATCACTGACTCAGGGATACCCCCATTAAGGTTGATTTTGCCACAGAAATATCAGAGCTTTCCCCAAGGGATATACAACTATTTTCAAGTATATGAAGGCCTATTACATAGCAGAAGAATTAGGCATAGCAAGGGAGCAGCAAAGTGAAGAAGGCACAATAAGAATTGTTTAATAATTATAGATATTAATAGAGTTGGCTGCCCTGGGAAGTGTTTAAGGCTCTGAGCTCCTTGGTGATTGGTGCTTTCTTAAAAGTCTCCTGGGGAGTTGTAGAACTCAGTGAGGAAGAAGATAGGCCATCTCCGGAGTTACGGACCAATCTGTCCCTCTATGCATCCTGAGACACATACTGGGCAGCTCAGTGCTGCCTCCAGGTCTCAGCCATTTGTTCCTCTTAGGTAGAAAGGTAGCTTCTGGCTCAGGGCTGGCTCAGGACCTTGTCTTTCTCTGTGTTTGCCCATCTTGGGGCAGGTATCTGCTCCAGGCCAGAGTCCCCATCCAGGCCCAGGGAATGCCCTTGGCCTTCTAGAAGACAACGCTGAGCTGAGCCAGTTATATCTCCTTTTACAGCTTTGTGATCTCCCCAAACACAAACTACATTCTGCTGCACAGTCTTTGCTGGACACAGCAGGCGTAGGTGATGAAGTTCCACGCTGCAGTGATGCAGGTCTGAGAGAACACATGGTGAGATGCAGTCATGACTATTGGAGCAACAGAGATGGATACGATAGCAAGAGTGGGCACATACTCGGGCACTGCCATACTTGACTGTGGCTGCCCTCCCTGTGAGCAGCATCTGCAAAGCCACAGACTGGATGGTGAGGGTGTTATCCTCCAGAGTGGACTGTGCCAACACCAGGAGAGGTGTGTCCATTCAACTATAATTTTTCAATACAAATGTGTCACACTTAAAAGAGATGCATGAAACATCTCTGTCTATCAAAGGTTAGTTTTATTAGTTAAATTTTATTTAAAAGTAAAACATTTTATTAGCATTTACAACTGGAGGAAATGTGGATAGGATTCTCAGCCAAATGCCAACAAGTACCTCCAAGTTCAGCTGTCCTGGGGCTGAGCTGATGATGGGGAAAGACAGATCCAATTGACACTTATCCTGATGCCTCCTAGGAACTGCTGGATTTAGTTCCCATTCACAGCTTACAGTGGGCATGGGTGTTTCATTAAGGAGAGCAGGGGATGTTGTAAGCAAGCCAAGAAAGGCAGTGGGCCCAAAAGCTTCCCCAGGAGAGACAAAGTATCTTATTTCTGCTGCCCACAGCTGGAGCTCCTTCCTCACTTCTGGAAGACAACAAACCCCCTAATCTGACAAAATGAAATGCAGGCAAGTCTAAACATTTCCCTTTATCTTTCATCAAGATTTGAATTATCTGAACAGAGGCTGATGAACTCTCTAGGAGACCCATTTCAATCCCCCATACTGGGCAAAGACTTCCACTTTCTAAAGTAACAGAGAAAAGTCAGACAATAGATTCAAAAGGCAAGGGACAAATGAAAGAAATGAAACACAATTCCCTTTACAAAGTAGCCATAAAGCAAGACAATCTTTGACAGTCTTAAAAAGATTATAAGTAACTCTGCACCTACTCATTCAATTCAAAAGGTATTAAGCAGTAAGTGCTGGGGAAACAATGGGGAACAACACATACTAGTCCTGGCCCTCATCCTAGTGAAAAGGGTAGAAAATAAGCAAATAAATAACAAATAATTACAAGTTATAAAAGGACTATGATGCAGATAAAAAAGGTGCTATGATAAAGACTAATGGCAAAACAGTTTGTTTATTATTTCATAAAACACTGCAACTAAATAATACTAGCAGCTAAAATTTACCTAGTACTTACAGTGTACCAGGAAATTGCTTCATGCTTTTTAGGAATTATCTCATTTTATTCTTATATAGTATAATTGCACTACTTTATTTCCATTTCTGTAGATGGAAAAAACAGGCACAGTAATTTTTTCAAAGTCATTCAAATGAAATCTAAACCAGAG